GGCAAAAGATGCGCATAAGAGTCCTACCTCCTATGGGCTCGATTAGTGTCACGCGATATTGCTGTCGCCATGACGACGTCCCGAACAGCCCGTCGGATGCAACAGATCCTTGCAGGTGGCAGGTTGTGCGAGAGCAAGCGACGCCTTTTTTTTGCGCCGTTGCCCTCACATGCAAAAAACAGGTGCACACATCTCGTGCCGTCGCCCACCACACAAAAGGAGGCGTGCGCATCGATCGTAACTCTATAAAACGACGGAAGAGGTACGCACACAAACCCGGTTCACAACCCCCGCGTTGAAAATGGTCATACGAATGCGCCTGTAGTGAGTGTTTTGTCGAAACCAAACAGAACACGTATCGGATACTACTTTCGAATGTCGGCGAACTCTACGATCAATGGTGGTCCTGCAAGGTTCAGATTTGGAGCAGTTTAAGAAGCGACTATATATTTACACACACACACACACACACACACACACACACACACACACACACACACACACATATATATATATATATATATATATATATATATATATATATATATATATATATATATGAGATATAACAGACAGTAATGCCAAGGAATGTACAGGGGAAGTTATTAACATTAATGGAATGTAAATAAGAAGAAAGAAAAGTGGATGAAAAAATTACCAACTGTAAGCAGGAATCGAACCTACGACCTTCGAATTACGCGTTCGATGCTCTAACCACTGAGCTATTACAGCGGCCCTCCCTCCATCCACTTTTTTGGGTTTATCTGTGAATTTAGAAGTAGGAGCGACAGTCAGCGCCATCTATAAGCCAAACAACGAGTGTGAAAACACTCTTATGCGCATGTTTGGCGTCACGTAGCACGTGAACTTATTATGAGCGGGCAGCTGATTAATTGTCCCTCTTATACAACCTAAACACACCAAGTCTGCCAGTACGAGACCCTCGTTCAATGAAATAAGGGAAAGAAGTGTATACCTAAGGGCTCGTTTTTTCCGTGTTTTTAACACAATAATAATGAGATATAACAGACAGTAATGCCAAGGAATGTACAGGGGAAGTTATTAACATTAATGGAATGTAAATAAGAAGAAAGAAAAGGTTCGATTCCTGCTTACAGTTGGTAATTTTTTCATCCACTTTTCTTTCTTCTTATTTACATTCCATTAATGTTAATAACTTCCCCTGTACATTCCTTGGCATTACTGTCTGTTATATCTCATTATTATTGTGTTAAAACACGGAAAAAACGAGCCCTTAGGTATACACTTCTTTCCCTTATATATATATATATATATATATATATATATATATATATATATATATATATATATATATATGCGAGAAATTTAAGTAGCAGAAGGAAATATGCTTAGCAGCCGGTTTGTGGTCGTGTAAAACTTATGTTTGGAAGCGTGCATGTTCGGAGCAGACAAAATAGTGTTTGGAATCACTTGCAGAGGTGAACCCGTAAGTGCGCAACCCCCCCCCCCCCCCTTTTTTTTTTTGTTCGCAATGTCGCAATCAAGAAATGCTGCTCACGTGCAAACAAGACAAGGCAGTTATAGAGCCATTCACACGAAACGTCACACGCAGGCCCCACCAGAAGGTGTGCATTGCGGTGAAGCATTATAGCGACGAGGAGCACTTGCCGCATTCTGCGAGAGACAGGCGTGAAAACATAGTAACTTCCTAATATTAGAGAAAGGAAGGAAGTCACAAAAGCCCCCAGGAAAAGTTGGCCCGGGGCGACAATCCTTATCAACCACTTTTAAGCACTTGATTCCAGCCTCCATCATCTGCTGAACGTTTATATAGGTATATCGACACCGCCGAAGAGTCGACCATCTCGCAGCCATCAATTCGGAAACAAGCAACGGGAACTAAATACAATATTTCAAATTTTCTGATCACATTTTTTTTAAATTCTTCCTTTAAGTAAATTCACAAATCGCCACCGCATCGCCCGACTGCGGTTGTCCAGGAGTGTCCGCTACAGCATTGTGAGCGCGTCAGGCACTGCAAGCTATCAAAGATGATACCCCCACGCTGTTGCAGCTGCAGGCCACTTTCAAGCGAGGCGTGAGAAAGCAGCTGTGTGTACTTGCAACAGAAATACTAGCAAAGACGTTTAATCCATCTTACGAAGGCGTGCCAACTATACCTGGAGGTGCTTCCCAGATCTCGGAAGATTGAGTATTCGGTTAGTCGTAACGACGTCGAGGCGGAGCGCCAAAATAGGGGGCCGCGGCGGAGCCTATATCCACTGCCGCTGCCCGACGTGCAGGCCAAGAATTGGAGGGGGGGGGGGGATGAACAACAAGAGAGAAGGCAGGGAGGTTAACCAGGCACATGCCCGGTTCGCTACCCTACGCTGGGGGAATGGGAAGGGGGCATAAAGATGAGAGAGAGAGAGGAAAGAAAAGAGAAAGAGAAAAAAAAAAGAGGATTGTCCGTCAATGGGCTGGCGCGTATACAGCGGTGGCACTACACGAAAGTTAAAGGTTGTCACGTAGGCCTGTAGTCCTCAAAAAAGCACAAGACAGCTTTGACTACTTTCTGAGCCGACGAAAGGCGAGGACGGTGTTCCAGTAGCATCTGCACAGAGAGTGGCCGATCGTCCAATTGTCGCAATGCATCCGAAAGCTTCTGTCCTTCAGAGGCAAATCGAGGGCTATGGCATATCAGATGGTCCATGTCTTCTTTGGCGCAGCAGACGTCGCATTCCGCATTGTCGGTCAATCCGATGAGGGTTCTATATGCTTTTGTGAAGGCAACCCCCAACCAAAGGCGACAAAGAAGCGAAGCTTCACGTCGACGAAGTCCGGATGGAGGTCGAAGTTCCAGTCGAGGGTTTATTTGGTAGAGTCTCGTATGTCTTATGCTTGGGGTGTTCCACTCCTGCAGACACAGACTACGTGCCAGGTGACGAAGTTGCTTTGCAGCGTCAGTCCTTGACAAAAAATCGGAAGAATGTGCTCTTCTTGGTGCAATGTGCGAGCGGCGTTGTCTGCAGAATCATTGGCACTGATCCCACAATGGCCAGGAAGCCACTGAAACTTGACCTCGTGGCCTGTTTCTGTGACGTGGTGAGGAAGCTTGACAACTTCGTAAGTTAACTGTTCATGGCAACCTCGTCGAAGGACTGACTGCATGCTCTGTAGGGCCGGTTTTGAGTCGGAAAACACAGCCCATTTACTCGGTCTCTCAGATTTGATGTACTCTAGGGCGCCACGCAAAACCGCAAGTTCTGCCGCCGTAGACGTAGTGGCGTGTGACAGCTTGATTCGCAGAGTGATTCCTCTAACTGGAATCACCACCGCACCGCCAGAACCAGACGCTGTGGTTGAGCCATCGGTGAACCATCCAAGAACCATCCAAGTTGAGCCATCCAAGAATTGGAAGGGGGAAAAAAAGTCAGCTCAAGCTTGCGCGGGATCACGCAGCTCCCTCAGAGCCGTTCCACGCGCTTCCCGCACAGCCGCAACGCACATGCCGGGACCCCTACCGCACGCAAGCGGAGGACAAACAAGCCAATTGGCGACGCTGCGGAGAGTGAAAGAGCGTCGCCAATTGGCTTATTTGTTCCCCGCTTGCGTGCGGTAGTGGTCCCAGTACGTGCGTTGCGGCTGTGCGGGAAGCGCGCGTGGAACGGCCCTAACAGCGAAAGCAGGAAGAGCGGTCTCCTTAGTGCTCGTTACAAGCTCACCGAGGGCAACTATATGTCTACTAGAAGTCCTACACACACTTGTAATGTGCCCACAAAGCCACAAATCATCGAAATTTTCGCGAAGTGTGAGGAAGCGCCGCTGTTATTCGTCGATTCCGCGGAGATGCGAGGTACCCGCTACACACGTGTGAAACATTATGCGCGCTTTGTTAATACCATGGCTGATGATGATAAAGAGCTATCGCTGAGCCATTCGTAATGGAGTGGAAGCATTAAACGACCCCACTCGTCAGGCGATTCGCATTGTGTGTGAAGCTTGGTTGTTAGTTACAACGATACGTTACATTCGTACACCTGATCCATTGCCCTGTACATAACGTATTTATGGGGTCTTCCTGCGAATGCACTTCACGCACCGCTCTGGCAGGCACTGCGGCGGAACGTTCAACTGCCAGGCAGAGAGAGCCCCGGTTCAAGTCCCGCCCGATACAGGACTGTTTTACGTGAATTACGTGCTTTGTAACTAGGCTATGATATTTATTACGTGTTTTATTATGCGCAAAATATGATCTGTCTTTCGGCAGTGATGCTCTCTTTTCTTATTTTTCACTAACTTCTCCGTTTAAACTATATGCTTAGCCATTACGATATATTTGTTGTATGTGCTCTGAAATGATGTGTTCCAGTAGTGAAGGTTCTTTTTTTTATGTTTCTCTTATGCACATTTCTGTTTTATATGAGTCGACTCCACTCCTGTAATAGCCCGCAAAGGGCTGACAGTATCAATAAATGAAATGAAATGAATTTTTTTTTAATTTTGCGCGATAGCGTTTACAGGCGGCGGCGGCGGCGGACAAATACGTCACCATAATCGGCTGTGGTTGTGATTCGCACAACAACTTTCGCTGTAAAGAAAAAAAAACTTCAAAAAAGTGCCGCCATATCCACGAAGTGAATGATGCTGAGTGGGCGAAGCTCCGGAGGTAAACCTGGTGAACCATGAATCCTCCGTACATTTTGCCCACTCGATTTTATTACAACGCTCCCCCTAGCGTACATCGCCACACTGAATCGAACGATTGCCTTCCACCAATGACACGCGCCATATGTTACATCATTCCTATTTTTATAACATCTCGCCTCTTTCATCATCAACTACAAGTACCGCGGTCTAGTTTATAACATCCTGCATCTTTTCATCGTCAGCTACAAGTAGCGCGATCTAGTGAACACTGCAAGAACTAAACGAGAAGTGGCTACATACAGGGGACGCGCAGCCCACGCCTTAAGGAGCTTCGCCCCTAAAAAGAGAAGTGAATAGCCACTACTCACGCTCTGGCGACGGGCCCCAGCGGTGGTCGGCCACGAGCGCGGCGGCGCTTCGGCCCAGCGCCGGGGCCGATGCGAGCGCCAGGAGGAGCAGCAGCAGCAGGAGCGCCGCGTGCAGCAGCGCCCCGAGCCGGACACCAGCCATGGGCCCGCCGCTACATGAACGGGGCCGGCCACCGGGCCAACCCCTGTCGCCGCACGACGACCTCCTTCCTCCTCCTCTTCTGCCGCCTGCGACAACAGAAACGACAAAACAGTCATTCCAAGAACGTTCGTTTCCTCCGGTACGCACACATACATTCGCATGCGCGAGTTTTAACAATAGGTCATCTAAACTATTGATGCGGTATTTTCGGGCAAGGAGTCACCGTGGCCTCTGTCTAGAGTGTCGATCCCCGCTTTGGTGTACCAGATACACACACCACACGCGGGACGAGATAGCCCCGAAACGAGAAGTATGCACATGCGAAATGCTCTCTCTCTCTCCGTTTCTAACACACTCTAACGGCGTCCACCGCGCGATGCAATGTTTACTATATCGACTAAGTACCCATCAAGCCCAACAGTCGGCTATAACGAGGCCGCCATATATGGCGCCCCTAAGCGCACGGACGAATGCAAACGCGGAACACGGCAGCGAAACACGGCGTGGCGTGGACCGCTGCCGTTGAAACCCTGACGCCGATACGGCTGAACAAAGCACGCACGCACAGAAACGAGAGAGCGGGGTTCGAGCTCGATTCTAGTGGACAAAAGGGCGCGCCCCCCACGGTGAGAACCGGTCACCCGAACACGATATGAGAAGTGATTCTTAAAAGGGAAAAGAAGAGAAAAGTGAGCCCCGTTATTGTCTGCTTCAATGAGCGACACCGCCACAGTAGCTCACGAGGGATGGGGGTGAGGAGAAGTAAAAAAGGATAGGGTGAGGAGAAGTAAAAAAGGATAGGAGTAAAGATGTGGGAAAGCGTAAGAAGGAGAAGAGAGGAAGAGACGTGAGGGGTAAGCCAGAGCGATATGGCGTCTGCTGCTGTAATACGGCCGTCCTGTGTCGTCCGTCACACAAAAGGGGAGCCAACGGACACGGCACGAAATGCGGCGGGCGTGCACGAGAAAAAATAAAATTCAAATTAAATGTGGGACAGCATTGGCTACGAATAAACCTCTCGCCAAGCTGGCGAGAAAGACCCCCCCCCCCCCCCTGCTCACACTTAACTTTTCGTCTCAATAAGGTACCAAGTCTGCATGGGCCAATCTGAGAAGTTTGTATGCCCCGCCGGGGTGGTCTAGTGGCTAAGGTACTCGGCTGCTGACCCGCAGGTCGCGGGATCAAATCCCGGCTGTGACGGCTGCATTTCCGATGGAAACGGAAATGTTGTAGGCCCGTGTGCTCAGATTTGGGTGCGCGTTGAAGAGCCCCAGGTGGTCGAAATTTTCGGAGTCCTCCACTACGGCGTCTCTCATAATCAAATGGTGGTTTTGGGACGTTAAACCCCACAAATCAATCAATCAATGAGAAGTTCGTACACACTTGTACCGCCGCTGAAATGCTCGTTCACACCGAAGGCCCAAGCGCCGAAGCGGATTTTCGACGCGGCGAGACGACGAGTGCGCGTATACCCGTGAAAAAACCCGCAGCACACAAAACAAACAAAGATAAAACCTTGTCACGGCGAGACTTAAAAACATCAGTGAGAGAGGTGTGGTGGGCTTTTTCTCACCGAAATTCCGCAATTGTAGAAAGAGTGCTAGAATTTCCAACAGACACGGCCACAGGGCGCACTGTACGGCGCTAATCCGGACGGGATATGCAAACATTGTGGTTTTAAGCAGGCATGGATGGTTACAGCAAAAGCATTTTGTCTACGCTTAGTCCTTGTGACTTTACAATTAAGACAGCTGTGTGTTTGTGCGCGTGTGTGCTTCAAACTACTCATCACAATCTACAATGTATCAATCTTAATATCAAACAACGCGTCACATATGTGCGCAGATACATCTCACCTAACATGGCGCTGCAAAATTACGATCGCTTTGATACGTAATTTTAATACGTAACGGCTACAAAGTATTGAGATACGAAAACGAAGGTTGAGACAATGCATGTACAGCGAGAACGGCGCAGAAAAGTATTATTCCTGTTTTACTTACTACAGATAGGATCGTTTTGTTAGGGCGTCCACCCCCATCATTCAACGCTCTTTCCCAGATGACGCACCTTTATTTTAACGAGAGCAGGGATCACGCAGAACGAAGAGGCAGCTTCAATGAGATTTTTATAAAAATTTTTTTTTCTTTCCCGACACTAACCCGGAAGTGTTCTTTGTTGCGTGCACCCCGACTCCCCCTTCTTTACCTCTCTTTCATTAGCCCTCTTTCCTGCAAGTCTCTTACCACAGTACACAATTCAATGAAAGAAGATACCCGGCCACCACCCTCAATCGCTTTCATGGTAGTGACTCAGCCTACGGGGAGGCCACGCCGCATGCTGGTTTCCCTTTTTGAAACTGAGCACAATGAGTGTGGTTTCTTTAGGTTTCTTTTTATTTTTCTTTACCCCTTGCATGTGCGTGCTGGCCTAATGCAACGCTTCAAGGTATCCGCAATGAAGCATTTGTAGAGTTTCTAAGCATTAAATCCGCACCGACCAGCATACCCAATCAACCAAATTTTCGATAGAGGCGAAAATGCTGTAGGCCCGTGAAAATATTGTAATCCTTCCCTAGACAGAGTACAGCGCCGTCTAGTGCTTACGCTATGAGTCACCAGCTAGCTCAAGTCAACCAGCTAATTTGCAAAAAGGACCCCCGTGCGCGAAGGAAGGATTTGTTTGCCGGGGTTGCGCTGGTGTATAGCTTAGGTGGGAGCCATATGTAGCAAGTACCCCATTTGCCTCTCCCCCCTCACCCACGAAAACACATGTTTTGTTCTCAGTCACAAGCCGGCCTCCGCGAACAGTCACTGGATACGTGACAACAAATACCACGAAACAATGCTTCAATCAAAGCGCAAAATCCATGGGATTCGCTGACACACAAATAATGCACATAAAACGTTATATCTTATGGCCAGTCATCACAATGAAACAAATATATTTAACTAAAGGACGCGTATATGCAGTCGCCATGATACAGGGTTGTTTCTCTCAAGTCTCGCCAAAGAAATTGAGGGAAAAGAACGAGGACTTCCAATGAAAAGGTTTGTCCACTTATAAGTCGTCTTCGTGCTCTTCTTTTGGTTCTTTTTTTTTTCTCAAGGGCGACTGCGAAGGCTTTTCGAGAATGGAAGTCCACTATAGTTCCGGGAGTTGCGCAAGTGTCCGCTTAAAAGCGGTCGTCCATGTCGCTGGCCGGCAGCGTGCTTCGAATCCCTGAAATGATGGGAAAACGAGCTAGGCTTCCTGGACGTCGCGACTCTTCTTCCGACATCCTTTTTGGGAACCTCCCGAGATCGCCACCAAGTGTTTTTTATCTCTTCGGGATTCGAGTCGCCGGGTCCGCTCAATGAAAAAGTGACACCGGCAAACCCTAATATATATATATATATATATATATATATATATATATATAGTGTGTGTGTGTGTGTGTGTGTGTGTGTGTGTGTGTGTGTGTGTGTGTGTGTGTGTGTGTGTACGCTATACAGCGCCATAGATATGCTCTGGCCCCGGCTTCACCACTCCTAAATCAAAACAAATACACCAGCCAGCGATAGGCCGTTCCATCTATCTTTCTTATTTTCTGGTAGCCCGCCAAGTGCAGTCTGGCGACGAGTATGCGACCGCTTCCCCGTCGTCCTTATGTGGTGAGTCTTCGATCTGCCATTTAGTGCCCCGAGGTCCACCTCAAGGACAAGCTATCTCCTGCGCGACTGAGCGAGCACGCTATACATCATACACTACCATTTGTAGGCGGGAAAGAGAAGGATAATCAGTCAATAACGACAACGGCTATAGGACGGAAGGAGGGGGAGCTATAGCGAGTGTTCTACCGTCGTAAATGTGCACGGAAGTGGCTGCGTCGCCCCGCAATAAATCGAACAAGGAACAAAAAGTGGACGGTCAGAGAGAGAGAAGATGAGGAAAAATGCTGCGTAAGAATTATACTCTGCTGCACGCTACAGAACACATCCTCCCCACATTCTGAGGACAATGCGTGCTGACAATAGCCGCTAGCGTGGCTACTAACTAAGGTATACACCCGGATATGTTTCAGAATCAGACTTGCAAGCTCATGGAGGTGGCAAAGTTGGTAATGGGATAAGTATACGCTCTAAGCAAAACTCGTCGGAGTCTTCGTGACATTCACCAACGATCTACAAATTTCTTTACGCGTTAGGTGAAACCTTTCATATAACACGCCCCATACCTAAATCCTCGCAAGGAAGCCACAAGCTACGTCTGCCAACCACGTCCGAAAAGTATACGAACGGGGCACGTTAAGCGCCCACCGTTAATCCCCTTGTGAGACGAGGCTGGGTGTGACGGACTGAGAGAGGATTATCGGCGCTCATACTCGCCTCCTTCCCTTCCTTCGTCCGAAACGCCAATAGCCGGCTGTCATTGGAAGCCGACCTTAATCGATCCATAGCTTTCGCTCGATTAGCGAGCAGCGCGCAAGCTCACGAGTAAAGGACCACGATTCTTTTGGCAGTGTAGTCATGACGCATAGTCCGGCGCTGAATATACGACTAGCAACATTCGCGTAGCCAAAGAGGAGGGAGGTCGAATCGGCCTGAAAGTTTTCAATATTGGTAGCGTATATATGCATTGACATATAAAAACGCACGCACGAACATACATAAACAAACTCCTCCCGAAAAAAAAATTAATAAATTCTGGCTGCGCCCTTGACTGCACGGCGGCACGGGGGCTCACGAGCCCGAAGTTTCGCACATTGACATCGACTTGCCCCGATTTCAGGAACTAAATATTATCTTTCTTATTTCAGACCATCCCCGAATAAGAAAATATCGGTTAGTAGTGGACATCAGGGCTACTGGAAGCCTTGCGCAACTTTTGTGGTCGTGAAAGCACGCGTTCTTGTTCTTTCGATCGATTCGTTCGATCGACTGTAAATCAAGCGGGAGTTTGCAACTCTGTAAGAAGGAGGTACACACAAACACTTCCCCGCCCCACACACAAAGACACACACACGCGCGCGCGCGGTAAGTTTTCGGAGGTTTTTACTACGGCGCCTCTCGTGGTTTTGAGACCCCACATATCAATCGGTAGCCCC